CAATACAATATTGAATAAGAGAGGAGATAATAGGCATCCTTGCCTAGTTCCTGGTCCATCCCTCTCATTGAAGCTGGTGGTTTTGCTAAGCTCTATTCTAAAAGATCCAAGTCATGGTATTTTTCAATTGTTCCATATTCATGAGGAAAGTTGGACAAGAAATAAGGATGACTGAAGAAACGTTAATGTCTTTGATTTTGGTGCTGGCAAAGAGTATTGTACATAGCATGGACTTGCACAGAAGAACCAACAGACTTGTACTGAAGGAAGAGCAATGATGGTGCTCCTTAGAGGCAAGGATGCAGAAACTTTGCCTCACATACTTTGGGTGTGTTGTCAAGACATCATGCTTGGAAAAGTAGAGAACCAATGAAAGAGAAGGAGGCAGAGAGACTGCAAGAATGGCCGTGAGGATGGAACAGACCTAAGGTCCACTCCAAATCTGCTCACTCACCACTGTGAGGTAAACTGAATGTGAAGATAGGTTTTTATAAAGCTCAAATTTTTTGAATGCAGCCCTATTAAAATAGGGAAATGGAGATGATTCTCTTGAGTTGGTCAAAGAAGAAAAAAAAAAGCCTGAGTTTTCATTTTCATTATCAGAATTGACCTAAAATTGTCAGAAAATATTCATTCATTCACCAGTGAGTTAGGAAAACAGAGTAAGAACTTACTTTAATGATGCAGCCATCCTGATGTATTCAGGAGCTTTCTGATCAACTTTCTCCATGCAAATTCGTAATTTCTAAGAATAAAAAAATAAGAAGTGAATTTGGAAACAAATAATGGTGATTGATGCAAAACATGCTATCACTGACCACGTTAAAAAAAGATAAAATGGTAAATGTTTTGTTAGAAACATTTTTCCTAAAGTAGGATTTAAAAAAAAATGTGTCTGCTTTCTTTTTTTAAAAAAAAGTTGATTTTCTGATTTATAAAACTACTTTCTAAGCAGAAAATCTGGCTGCAAGGAAACAGACAGTGAGGCTTTTGACTAGGTTTTTGAGAGAAGCAAAGTTTTCCAGGACAAAAGTCAGTGTCGCCACGGCAGAAGAGAGGTATTAATGGCTACATTTCTACATTAGCTGAGTGGTCTGAAGCAATACAAACCAACACAAGGTATTGCCAGGCTCATCTCCATAAAGAAAGGAAAAAAACCACGGTTTATGAAAACAAGACCTCAGATATGAATTTCATACAAGCGAGGCATAATAGCCACATTAGTAGCTCAGAAGAGGACTTAATTAGCATGAGGCTCAGTAGCCTGAGTACTGTCATGGTTAATATCGTGTCCACGTGGCTGTTTCTCTAGAGAACCTGGCCTCAGACATATATTTTCATAGTGATTCCAGGAATATAGCCATTATGACACAGAACTGCTAACAGTGAATGCAGGGGTCATCAGACAGTTCACTCTTGCCCTGCCCTGTTAAGAGATTTTCTGGAACTGCTGAGGCTGCTCTCCTTGTCTAATTTCCATCAGAAAAATTACTACTATATCTGCAGGTCTCACCTGGTCTCACCTAGGAGGCCAAGCCCAGACTCATTCCCAGATGTCCTGACTCTAAACCCCATGCTCTTTATTCTATACTATATTCCTCTTATGGAAGCAGGAGTGGTATCCACTTCCATAAATAGCTTGCCTCCAGAAACCCTATGAACCTGGAGAAAGGATGAAAGTCACGTAAGTGTCAAGGACTTTTGTTCATAGGGTCACTATGAGTTGCCAACGACTCAATGGCACTTAACATCAAGAAAGATCAGTTGGCCTAGTGGACCGAAAGTGATGCTACCAAGCCAAGGTGGCTGACTCTTATCTGCAGCCCTAAGGCCTATCTTTGTTTTTGGTGAAACATTCTTCTAGGTCGTATAGCCCTGGTGTGTCCACTTACAGTACAGAGGTAACTCATGGTTGCTATGAAGCTGAACACTGTGACACTGACGTGTCAAATGCAATAATGGTTAGCCATGGTGGACAGTGTTTGTGGGTATTCCCTGGTTAAAACAAACTTGGAAGCAGGAGTGGCATTCACTTCTGTAAACAGCTTGCCTCCAGAAACCCTATGAACCTGGAGAAAGGATGAAAGTCACGTAAGTGTCAAGGACTTTTGTTCATAGGGTCACTATGAGTTGCCAACGACTCAATGGCACTTAACATCAAGAAAGATCAGTTGGCCTAGTGGACCGAAAGTGATGCTACCAAGCCAAGGTGGCTGACTCTTATCTGCAGCCCTAAGGCCTATCTTTGTTTTTGGTGAAACATTCTTCTAGGTCGTATAGCCCTGGTGTGTCCACTTACAGTACAGAGGTAACTCATGGTTGCTATGAAGCTGAACACTGTGACACTGACGTGTCAAATGCAATAATGGTTAGCCATGGTGGACAGTGTTTGTGGGTATTCCCTGGTTAAAACAAACTTGGAAGCAGGAGTGGCATTCACTTCTGTAAACAGCTTGCCTCCAGAAACCCTATGAACCTGGAGAAAGGATGAAAGTCACACAGGTGTCAAGAACTTTCGTTCACAGGGTCACTATGAGTCGCCAATGACTCAACGGCACTTAACAACAGCATATTCCTCTTAAAGTGCACACCTGCTAAGGGTGGTCTGGGATAACTGGTGACAACAAAGACTGAGTTATCTGAGCAGACGTGAGAGGGGAAATGTTAAATCTATGCGCAGCCATAAAGCAGAAGACTCCCAAGGGAGTCTCCCAAAGCTATTTCTAGCCACAGTCCCCACCCACAGCTCCAAGTTCTGGTTTCTCACAGAATGTGCCCACACAATTTATGGCAACCCCTATTCACCTCTCATCCTTGGGCCACCAATGCCTCCACCTCTTGCAACATACCTCACATACCCAAGATAGTTTTGCAACTCACCCTGGATCCTTTTAAGTTTCTACTGAAGAAATGAGAGCAATCTTTTCTTCAGTGGAAATGTAAAAGGATTCAAAAGAACTACTAATTTTCCAGAATATTCAAGAAGCCTGCAGGACAACAATCAGCTGCAGGTACCAGGGAGAAGGCATTCTTGGCCACACGAGTGCCTCACCTCGTAGAGCCTCATGATGTCGGGGATGTGCTCCTTCTCATCAATCTGCTGCTCTCGCTTGTGCAGTGTGTCCTTGCAGTGTGTGCAGCAGCGGATGCGGTCGTCATCCTTCTCGTCCAGCACGGAGCTCACACTGCTCACGCTGCTGATGCTGCCCCGGCGGGAATTGTGGACACTGTTGGGTGACTGGCTGGGACTGGTATGTGTGCTCAGGGAATCCCTGCTGGCACTGGTGAGCTTGTCTGTAAACCACAACACAGGGTGAGCAGAAATAACTCTCCAGCATATCAGCATTCCAGCTCTCAAGAAAACAGCACTTGGATCCACAAGTGCCGGACGAGGAGTTTAAGCAGCTAGGTCCCTCCTACGGGCAAGATGCACCTACATCTCTGCCTTCTTGGGGTCAAACTCTGGTGGGAAGGGATGGGCACTGTGCTACAGAGTAGAACTACCTCACAGGGTTTTCTTGGCTGTAGTCTTTACAGAAGTAGATTAGCAGGACTTTCTTCTGATATGCTGTTGGGTGGGTTTGAACCTTCAGGTTAGCAGCCAATCACAAACGTCTTGCACAAACCAGGAACCTCATCTTGTAGACCAGTGGTGGGCAAATGTTGGCTTGCTAACAAATGCAGCCTTGGCCTGTTTTTGTTTTTTAAATAATTTTAAAATATATTTTATTGCCTTTTCAGTGAAAGTTCAATAGGTTCCCATTCAATAATTTAAAATTAAAATTGTTCTGCAATATTGCTTACACAATGTGTTGATATTCTCATTATTTCCATTCTGGTTGTTTCATTTCCAGTAACCTAGTTTCTCTGGTTTCATTTAAAAGCTTTACAGCTTTGCTTTAAAAAAACAGGCTGATACAGATGATCAGCTTGTTTAAGCAGGGTGCTTATACTCTTGAAAGGATGTTAAAAAAGAGAAGCAAGATGTATGTAGCGCATAAAGTCAGATATTTACTGTATTTATTTACAGTATTCTCCCCACACAGAAAAGTCTGCTGATGTGTAATATAGCCTATCATCCCTGGCCCCAGCAAGGACTCTGTCTTTCCTGCAGTCAACAAGTCAGTAAGTGAAGATCACAGGACCATTAGTTTAAACACACACACACAAAAAGCCCTGTGGTCACCAATAACAAATAACAAATAAGGTAACAAGCTAAGCTCAAGACAGCAGGATGCAGGAGTGCTACCTACGTGCCAACGGAATGCTGATGAATTCCATGCACTTCTTGCACATGATGGACCCACAGAGGCGGCAATGGTGGCGGCGGTTTCGGATGCTGAACTTATTTCCACAATCTGGACAGAAGGGGACGTCCTGGTCGTTGACCCAAGGCACCACTGACTTCTCTATGGCTTTGAGATCAACAAGCCAAAAACAAACAAACAGAAAAGTGGGCTATTTTTATGAGCTATCTGGTCAGGGAATACGATAAAGAACGGATGTGAACACAGGTCTAGTTACCTCGAATCTTCGCAGACTCGGCATTCGATCTGTCAAATGCAGTGAGCTGGCAAGGAGGAAACAAAGCCCTTGTGTCAGTCATGAGATGCACACTTTCCACAGGCAGGGGGGTGGCATGGGCACATGTGCATTTCTCAAGAGTCCCCTGTTACTCAACTATGCTCACAAGCCATAAAAAGCATGTTTACATGGGACAGTCTTCATTTGCAGGGAGACATTTTGAGAAATTTGCCTCACCCTTACGATCTCTTTATTGTTGGTTACCCCCGTAAGTAATATATATGGAGGAGCAAGGGAAGGCAGAGTCAGCTACTGTAGGCAGTGAGGAACTCCTAATCGGCCACAGTCTTCCTGAACACAATCTTGTACCCTACCAAGTACACAGAAAGACCTGGTCCTCATAGTTGTTACCATGCCCACCACACAATCCAGGTTATATACTGCAAAAGTGTTTCTAAGGTCAAAGTGAAAAAGAGCAGTATGAGATGAGACTGAGCCCGTACCATAGAAAAATATACCCGCTGCACGCTAGCTCTAACTGAAAACCCCTCATTTCTTGTCACCAGTCTTCCTCCTTTCAGTTTTGTCATCAAATGATTACACACTACAGCTCATGAAGTATTCTGGTCAGGACATCCAAAAGAGAAAAGAACCTGAAGACAGGAAGATGTCCCAGCAGTCAGTGGGCTCCATGGCAGGAAACAGAAGGCAGGGTGGGGTGAGCCTTCTATGCAGCCTTTCCCTTCAGTAAAACTGTCCAAGCTAGAAAAGTCTACCACTGCCCACATGTTCTCCAAGGGCACTTCTCCAACATCAGACAAACACAACTTATATAATATGGAACACATTGTGGATTTATTTTCCCCCCTAGAAATGAATACTTAAGAAGATAAAACTTTTCAAACAACAAAATTTACCTTTTCTAACCTGATTATTAATTTGTTGACTTCAACAACATAGTGATCAATTCTAGCAGCTCGGTGTTTTTTGAAATCAGAAAGATGGCTTCTCGTAGCACCTGGAAGGAAGGAATGTAGGCTGGTAAATGACTTGTACTTTCTCTGCCTTGGAAACTGCTTGTTGCTTTTCTACAATGAATTTCTAAAAGAAGTAACAATTCTAAAATTTTAGAGGATTACTACAAAAATTGAAAAACCAGGAAAGCAAATGGAAGGAAATTTTCTAAAATGTTAATAGTAGTTGCCCTTACAGCCAGAGAATACAGAAGAGAGGCCTCTGAGTAGCATGTGGTAAGAATGTGGCCTCACTTAAGTTTCAATTCTTCCACACCTGTTAGGACCTTGGACTGGTTACCTAACCTCTTTGAAATGTATGGTACTCATCTATAAAACAGAAATAACAAAAACATCTACTTTGTAGAAATGCTTTGAGGATTAAATAAATTAACATTTATAAACTCCTTAGAACACTGCCAAGCAGGTGAATATTTATCAAATAAAAAGAGCAATAATCTTATGAAAAATTATTTTTTTTAAAAAAGCTTCATTTCTATTTTCTCAAACTGGAACAAGATGGTTTTTCATTGTCATAAAAATAATCTGTTTTACATAAGTAACAACAAAGAACAAAAAGGTAAATGCTTAAAAATGTCCTTGGGAATTAAACAATTATCTTTCTGTGTCCAGAAGTCAAGAACTAAAACAAATCTTTGGACACAAACAGAAGCAAGCAGCTGTCTTACAGTACTTGGCATCACTTCCAAATGTCAACCTTCCGCTCAGTTTCCCTTCACTTTCTTCTCCCAGTGAACACACACCCATTTACACACCATGCTGAATTTGAATTGGTTACATGGAACTCATTACCTGTCCAACATTACTTTTACAACAATTTTCCTTTTCTTTCCTTGAAACTAGTTTTTTTTAATTAGTTGTCATTCAATGATTCAAATGTATTAATGATGCCCTGTAACATTAATTACAATTGAGCAATGCCTTTAATCAGACCATCTCCTCAAATCCTCACTGTACTGCTCCTATTCCTTCGCCTCAACCATCCTTACATTAATCTCTGCTACCTAGTATTTTCCCCTTTACACTCCTCCACAAATTGCTGTCTGTCAGATACTCCTAAACATTCAGATTAAGAGAGACAAGGAAGAAGGATTGGCCATCCACTTCTGAAATAGCAGGCCTCTGAAAACCCTATGTACAACACAACACACGTAGACGAACAGAAAGGGCAACTTAGGTAGAACTTTCAAGCATAGAAATACAAAGGAAGAGGAACAGTTGTAAGCAGACACTAGTGACTGGAACATGGAATGTGAGAACCATGAATGTAGGAAAACTAGATATTGTTAAGGAAGAAATGGAATGCATAAATATTGACATACTAGCATTGGAGAGATAAGATGGACTGGCATGGGGCATTTTGAGTCAGATGATCATATGATATATTATTCTGGAGATGAAAAAGTGAGGAAAAATGGAGTTGCTTTCATAGTCAAAAAAGAAATTTCTAGATGCATCTTGAAGTACAACATGGTGAGTGATAAGATTATATCCATAAGCTTAAAAGGAAGTCCAGTGAATACCACTATCATTCAGATATATGCACCAACAACTAGAGCCAAAGAAGAAGAAATAGATAATTTCTACCAACTCTTACAGTCGGAGATCGATC